CATGATGTCGGTTCTGCTGGATCAGATACATTCAGTTAACTAGCGTTTATTACTAATAGCAGTCAGCCAGAATTCTCTGAGAAGCCCACAAGCAGGGCATGCAGGAAACAGCTATCTCCTTTCTGGCTCAATTATTAGGGATAGACTGCTTCTAGATATAGAAGTTCTGCCTTTCTAAGTATGGCGCATCAGCCTAGATTTTGGGAATGTATGGGGTGCCTTTGCTTAATATGGGTATTTGTTAGCCCCTTCTAACCATAAGCAGCCAATTGAGCTTCATAGTTTTATTTGAGTGTCCAAAGAATAATGCTTTTGCTGTGCTTATTGAAACCTCACAGATAGTATTTTTTGTTCCTCTGGAAATATTCTTATATGTGGTTTCTCTCTCACTCTCTTCTACTTCCAGAACCAACAGATGCAACAAACATAATAAGATTGTACAAGGAAATTGCCTATTACTCTCACAGGGCTGGAAAATAAATCAATTAAGCTCTTGTTTATAGACTACTGTCACTTTCCAGTCTGAGTCATTTTGCAGTCATATCTGCTCTGACTTTTCACAGTCTTTCTTGAGACTGTAGGAACAGAATATTGGAATGAAAACTGTATTCTACTTTTCATTAGCTAACTCTATTAGTGGTTTGAAGTACCACAAATATATTTCAGGCTATATGATCTTATCAGGATTAAAGTGAAAATTAGTGCAAAAAACAACAGAAGCTGCTGGAACACAAACATTTTGACCAGATATACATATGTTAATTTGCTTTTGCCATTATAATTGACAATATCATGGAAGAAGAGGTGAGAAACTCAGTCCCCTTCCAGTTCTCAAAAGCTTTGCTGTCTCTTAAAAAGCTGCATCATGGTTTCAAAAGATCTATTTTTAAGCCATCTGAGGCTGTGGATCAAGAAGCCTGTGGCTTTGAGATATTTTGATCAAAATCTGGCTGTTGGCTTAAGATTCTCAGTAGTTTTTGCTCTAAACCCGGTCTTTTTTGTGGCCCTGAGCATATATATTCTGCCTCTTCATTTCTGGAGAGTAGCAACTATAAGGTAGAAGGGGTAGTTTTGATGTTTTCTAGTGGCTAGCCCCACCAACTTTAGAAATAATCTGAAGTTCCTGATTATCAGTCTGCTCAAGTATGAATATTTCAGAGCTAGATGTTACCTGATTTTGTCTGTATACCTTACCCTAGCCTTGCCTATAGTACTTGCTACTGGCTAGGCATTATTAGTAATTCGACTGGCAGCACTTTATTTATTTGTTTTATTTATATTTCAAATTTAGACACCACCCATCTCATGAGGAAGTGACTTCCTTACTGTGCAGTAGAGTCTTATGACTTTGAACTGGAGTAGAGCAACTGCAGTGGTTAATGACGTTAGGATAGCATGCAATCTTTTTCTGGCACAGTGGGGAGGGGACTGCATAGCCATTTAGCCAAGAGGCAGGGTCCAGTTTTTCTATGAAGGGATTCTCCCCTTCCTCTCAAGTCTACGTTTCTGCTTGTTTTGTTCTGATTTTAACCATGTCCTGCTTGATAGCGTGTTGATTATCAAAAATGGGTAAATAGAGGCATACTATTCCTTTAAGAAATAGCTAAAAATACATCAATATGTACATTGTCATCCCCCCATCCCAGCATCACCAGCTTTTCTGTGCTGAAAGGACTAAAATTGAGTAAACAGAATTGACTTCTTGCCAGTCTAGATATTAAGATGCACGTTTCAAAATTGATATTATTGTCTTGGAGGATACATAAGGGTTTGGCTGGTCTCAGAATAAAAGTATCACAAGTATCACAAAGAGAGAAAGAGAGTTTAGTCTTAGAGTTTATGGGGAGGGGTTGATGGAATATGAAGGTAAAATCTTTGGTGAAACAAAATGTAGGCTATTATAAATTAAGAATGGGTAGTGAGCCGTTTGTTCATGTTTGTGTTTGGACTGAATTGATATATGTAAATGTATGGAAGTTGGTCTTGTGTTGGTCTTGTGAAGATAAGGTGCTGCACTGCAAAACTTGAACAAAAATAAAACTAGATGTTTAGATCTGGGATCTTGGGATCTACCACAGGGTGTCTGTGGCATCAATACGGCCAAAGACACCTCACTCGCTGCTTGCGCCACTTTTTTATATTTTTAAAATATTATTTTATGTTTTAAAAATAGGAAGTTACCTTGCTGTAAAGAACCAGCCTTTTGTATCATTATTATTTTAAGAATGATTCTTGGCTTCCGCTAGGATTCCTAAGCTTTCTTAGAAATAAAAATGGTAAGTAATGCAGCCCACTGCATTGGTTGGAAATGCATTCTACATTTTAGAAAAAGGGCAAAGATAAGCAAACGTAATAGAAATCAGTCTGCAGGATTGGGGGCACAGGGGTGGCCATTAGCATTCTGGTAAATAGTCATAAAATATTGATTTATGGGGGACCCTAGTATGCATGTATATGTTGATGAAGCAATAAAGGTATTTTCCCTTGATGTGAGGAGCACCTGCTCCTAAAAGTGCCTAGTAATCATCTCTCCTCATTTCTCTTCTCCAGTGTGTCCTGCCACGTGCAAGTCTCAGGGCTGTACCCCAACTGGCAAGTGCTGCCACACAGAGTGCCTTGGCAACTGCATTGAGCCCAACAATCCACAGAAGTGTGTGGCATGCCGGAATTTCTTTTTGGATGGCAAGTGTGTAGAGACATGTCCACCTAATTACTATCGCTTCAAAGGCTGGCGGTGTGTGACTTTTGACTTCTGTCAGGAGCTGCACAATAAATGCAAGATGGCCCGCGAGTCTGAATGCTATGTTATCCACAATGGCGAATGCATCTCTGATTGCCCTTCAGGTTACACCTTGAACTCCACCAAGTGAGTTCTTCCTTTCTATCTTCTCTTCTTATTGGTTGGGATAGAGATAGTTGTGAGGTGTTTTGAGAGGTATATCAGGATTAGTAACAAAGCAATTAGGAATAAGAAATAAATAAGAAATAAAAAGTAGCATTTTGTGCCAAGCAGTAACAAAGAAACATGCAGTCCAAAATATGGGGAACCTTTCAGATTTGTGATGATGTCTTAGCTCTCAGTAAGCAGAAATCACATGATGCACCTATGCTCTTTTTCTCCCCGTAACATTAAAGTCACAAGTATTCTTTAAGTATAATTCAAATACAGTCTGCAGACAATGCTTGTCATTTTAAATTAGAAAATACTGAATGGAAATATGTTTAATCAGTGTATGTGTATATTATTTAAAAGCAATTTAGTACTTCTGCAGTTTAGTTATCGAGTTGGATGAGACGATAGATATATATGCACGCATATTTGTGCTGTCTTCCAAATGCATGGAAAACATTCCTTGGTTTTGGTTACTTGGAACTTGCCTCCTTCCAACTCATCATAAATTTTGTAACAAGACAACTATTTTTTTTTTGATTCCTTGTTAGTTCTTATGTTGAAAAGAGGGAAAATAGTAAAGAAGAGCAACATGTCCACAGGAGAGGAAATGGACATTTTGGAGCATTCTCAGTTAAAAAAAATAGATAATTGGCAATTCAGTTGTTTATCACAGAAGAGCTTGTTTCTATTTCTATTTTATTTTTATTTTGGTTCTTAGTTTTAAGCTGCCCAGAGTCGTATGGAAGTTGTGTGGCCTATAAAATAAACAAACAAACAGTGAATCAGATACTTTTCTGAATATTAGTGCTAATTGTAATATTTTTCAGTTCATTCCATTCCAGGGACTTTGTACTAACATGGAGTTTTGAGCCTGGCGGCAGTTTTCTTTGCTTTCCTGAAGGTAGATCCTTCCTAGTATGGTAGCATTATACTGGCAACATACAACTTATACTTATCTTCTTGCCTGCCTGCCAGTTCCTCCATGCTAGATTTTTTTTAAAAAGTTCTTTCAGATGATTGAATCCTATGCTAAAGTCATGTTTGAAATTTGAATTATTAAGGAACCAGGAAGATCACAAGCCAACATGGCCATGGGGACAGGGCAGTAGCTCCATTGTCAAATCCTTCATCCTGGTTGAGGCTGGAAAAAGACTGTCCTGAAGAGATTAGCTAATTACTAAGGCATCACCTGTTGTGCAGATTCTGGGTTCTTGTAATAGTGGCTATGAACTCTAGAATCCTTTCCTAGATTGGAAAAGTTGATGTTTTACTGTGCCATTATCCATTATATTAAGCATTCAACAGCCTGAATGTCCCCCTCTGGTATATTCTTTTCCAGCTTACTCTGCACACCCTGTGCAGGGCTTTGTCCAAAAATTTGTGACTTGGGTGAAGAAAAGGTAATCGATTCAGTTACTGCTGCACAGGGACTCCGAGGCTGCACCATTGTGAATGGAAGCTTGATTATCAACATTCGTGGAGGAAGTGAGTGTCCAAGTCCTATTTTACTTTGTGTCATCTAGAGAAGATGTGAACATTTTTTTTGTCCAGTAGCCATATCTTGTCCACCATATCACTTCTGATGAATGGCAGTGATGCGTGACGTTGCCAGAGCGAGGATTGAAATTTGCACCCATTTTTTTTTTTAACTTGGAGGAGGGATGATGGGGTATCTCAAAATATTAGGCTTACTGGAAGAAATGCCAAAATTTTGGTCTACCAGAAAATCAGTTTTGCCAGTGTATTTCAATATTGCAAATTTACAAAGGTCATGGGTGCAAAAGTGTGGCCTAAGGGCCAAAAGTGGCCTGCTGACATATCTTTTGGGGGAGGGGGAAGTTAAGGAGAAAACTGGCAGATTTAAATCTTGCAAAAACTTAAGGAATCTATTTCACCCCTTAACATTCCCCCCCACAAACTGATGCTGATCGTACTCATTTTCAGAAAGCAGCTCTCAAAAGCTTTATTGGCCCTCGAGCAATCCTGTCATAGGTTATGGGTAGTCCAACCCAGGCCTAATAAGATAAGCAAACGCACTAGTAAAGGATAAAGGAGTAATACTTGGGAAAGGTATAGCAGGATTCCCTTTGGACATATCATGTGTCTCTGTTTTGGGGCCATGGAAGCTACTTGCTGCTGATGGTGATCATTTTTAGTGATTGTAATAGTGACTTTGGGTATTTCTTCACATGGATTAGGACCTAATATGGATAAGAAGCTGCTCTTTGTTCATAATTTGTGGCTTGAATGGCTGATGTTTCACTCTCCTTTAGCTAACATTGCTGCTGAGTTGGAAGCCAACCTTGGTTTGATTGAAGAAATCTCAGGTTACTTGAAAATCAGTCGCTCCTATGCCCTGGTGTCTCTTTCTTTTTTCCGCAAGCTCCACCTGATCAGAGGACAGACTTTGGAAACAGGGTGAGTTCAATTCTTCAGGGATATCTTGAACCTATTGAGAATAATGGTATGTTTCCCCACTTCTGCGTCATTATAAAATGTCACAAGCAAGTCAGTCTGCTGTTAAGACACAGGAAGTAGGAAAAATGGTGGTAGGTTTTGATCTTCTGTTCTTTGGTCCCTGGTCTCAAGAGGGTTTAACTTATTTTGATTATTTTGATTTAGAAATGAGAGCTGATTGCAGGGGAGGCCACTTAGCAATCTCCTGTTTCTTCTTTCTGCATTTGTTTTCTTCACCTCCCTCTTTTCTTCACCCAGAAATTATTCATTCTATGCCCTGGACAACCAGAATCTCCGCCAGCTTTGGGACTGGAGCAAGCACAATCTCACTATTGCCCGAGGGAAGCTCTTCTTCCATTACAACCCCAAGTTGTGTCTGTCAGAAATCCATAAGTTGGAAGAGATCTCAGGAACGAAAGGGCGCCAGGAGAAGAATGATATTGCTCTCAAGACCAATGGCGACCAGGCTTCTTGTAAGGATGAGTTGATGCTGTCCAAGGGAAATAGATAAATATAAATAGATGTGATGTTCGTTTTCTTAATTCTGGATAAGTGGGTACTAAACGTTATCTTACTGGGCTAGGATGCACATATAGATGCTCTGTATTTTGGGGGGAGGGTGTACATCTTAAGTAATGTTTATTGATTATTACTTCACAGCCTCTAGTTTTTGCTGGTAATTAGGAAATTATTACTTTGCCTTGGAGTCAGGCAGAGGCAAGAAGACACATTTCTCTCAGTTTTAGGAATCATCCTGCCACTCTCCCTTGATTTGGCATCAGTAACTGCCCAACTGTTCACTTGTGTGGTTGTAGCTTTTTTTTTTTTTTAATCTCAAAGCAAAGAGGAGAGGAAGCGGGCACTGGTCCAGAACCATACATTTGTTGTGTTTTGGCTTTGTTTCCTTCTGGGAATGTTTCTGCACTCAAAGATCTAGCTTCCAAATTGGTAACATCCTGTTTATGTATACTGTATATTTTCAGAGTCAGTTGCAAAGCAAATCCAGTGCTCTTTGATGAATTTCTGCCAGGCTGGCAGAGCACAAGACAACTTGTCCCCACAGCCTCCCTTAGCAATAGCACATATGTGTGTGAGAGGCTCTCTGCTTACTCTCTGTAGATCAGAGGGGCCTGTTTTCTATGGCCACAGCTGCCTGCGTATTAATTCATGGGAGGATGGGGGGGTAATAAATACCACACCATAACTTCCCCCCCCCCTCTACCTCCACTTTCAGATTAGAAAATCAGTCCATTATTTCTGGAACTTCAGCCTTTTTTCATTTTCCCCTGATCCTAGATAACAATTTCCCATCATGGCTTATTCATTAACACCTACTTTGCCTTCATGTAGGGTCCTGGTGTTTCCATGGTTCTTCAGTTTCATTTGGCAGTAGCCCATGGGGGGAAGTTTCATGTTCTTGGCTCTCTCTTCTGATTCAGTATTGCTTTCCTGTTGGGCTAACATCACTTCTGTGGGTCTTGCAGTGTATGGGATTTACTTTTCTGAATACATATGAAATACTAAATTTAGTTTGGTTGTACCATTGTTTTTTGTATGCATGAATGGTTGTTAATGCAAATGTGATGTCATCCTCTGCAGGTGAAAATGAAGTGCTGAAGTTTTCTTTAATAAAAACATCCAGTGACAAAATTGTACTGAAATGGGAGCCATATTGGCCGCTGGACTTCCGTGACCTTTTGGGCTTCATGCTGTTCTATAAGGAAGCGTGAGTAGACAAACTCTGTAAAAGCCAAGTTCCTGGCTACCGAAGCCTAGATTGTGCAGCCCAGAAGAGTAGGACTGAGAAAGGCTAATGGTCATACAGACAGAGGGCTAGAAAGTACCAGAGTTGCCTCCAGCTAACAGGCGTAGTTCTTTCATTTAATATTCTTGTAGACTGAGCGTGGAAAGAAGCAGTAGTCTTCATAGTTGGACAAGAATCAAATAACCTGCAGCTGAGAGGCTTTGTAAATATTAGACTTATAAAAATAAAGTGATAATCAATAGATTTGATCCTATATTAGCATAAAATAAATTGATTAACTGTGGGGAAGAGATGAAATTAACTTTGTAGTTACTGTAAATACATTTTAACTATTGATATTAACCATTTTTAAATTACTAATCTTACAGTTACTATTAAAAATGCTTCACATTAAAAGAAAATTGAAACAGAAATAAATAACATCAGCTCTATAAAAACATCAGTTATGTTCCGTAGGCAGACAACATCATGGCCTCTGCTTGTGTTCCTAACCCGGTGGAGGCTTTCAGTGATAGCAAGTTGCTAGTTGGAATAGCTTCACACTATTGATGCATAGCCCCTGAGTGCTGTGGTTTTACCATTGTACTACACAAAAATTGGCATTCCTTGTTCAGTTGGGATATTTGACCATAGTAGACTGGCATGAGTCTCTACACCACCTAGCACTCACTATCATTGGCCAGTCCGGTTGGAGAGAAAGGTTCTTTCTCATTTCCATAACTCTGGACTTGTCAATGGCTTCATTGTATCCATTGCCCCTCTTTAAAATGAATAGCACATTTGTGCCTATGTATATGCATTGCTTTTCTGAAATAGCAGCTGGTGTCCTTTCCCTTACTTTTTGGGCCAGTCCCTTCCGGAACGTGACGGAATTTGATGGCCAGGATGTTTGTGGCTCCAACAGCTGGACGGTGGTGGATATTGAACCTCCTCCCCGGCCGACTGATGGCAGGGCACCATCCCATCCTGGGTTTCTGATGCGGAACCTGAAAGCCTGGACTCAGTATGCCATTTTTGTGAAGACACTGGTCACCCATTCAGATGAGCAGAAGATCTATGGGGCGAAGAGCGAGATCATATACATTCAGACTAATGCTTCTGGTGAGCAGTACTGCTGTCTTGCAGTGTTCAGAAACTGCTAATCAAAAAATTCTTGAGGGGGGATTGTTATAACTGATTCCTTAGCTAAAGAATTATTTACTACAGTTGTAATTATTCTAATAATTATTCTAATAATCTGCAGGATAAAGACACTAGCTTAGAATTAGAATTAGTTGGAAAAGACTTGTAGGTCATCTAGTGTGACCCCTTTTATAGCAGGAATCGAGTGAACCATCCCCCCTAGGTGGCCCCAGCTCCCATTTGAAAATCTTCTCAGTGAGGGAGTCCATCAGCTCTTACCACCAGGAAATTCCTCATAATATTCAGCCGAATCTCCTTTCTTTTTAATTCAATTCCATCGGTCCTTATCCTACTCTGTTTCAGTAAAATAGGTCCACTATTGCATGTGACAGCTTTTTAGATATTTATAGACCATTATCATATCTCCCCTAAGTTTTCTCTTGCAAGCCAAACATGCCCGTCCCCTTTAACTGCTCCTCATAGAGCTTAGTTTCCAGACTCCTTATCATCTTGGTTAGTACTCCTCTGAATCTGCTCCAGCTTCTCTATATACCATTTAAAGTTCATTATCCAGAACTGGACATAGTATTCCAAGTGCAGTCAAACCAGCCCAAAATAAAACAGAATGATTACTTCCCAAGATTTGGATGATGTCTTTGTAATGGGAATTTCATGAAAAGGATAGGCCTATTAGTGGTTATTAGGCATAGCGGAACCTCCAACTTCAGGGATGTTCTGCCTCAGAATATTAATTACTTAATACAAACCACAGGGAATGTTTATGTCCTACCTGTTATGCCTTCAGCTCTAATGGGGGCATATAGCTGCCTGCTGTTAGAAATGAGATTAGGCTAAGCAGACCCACATTGTTTGACTTGATAAGGTTTTTGTTCACCCTGTTCCTATTTTTGTGATGGTTATTTTTTTTTCTCTCTCCAGTGCCAACTGTCCCCCAGGATCCAATTTCTGTTTCCAACTCTTCATCACAGATCATTCTGAAGTGGAAACCACCTTCTGATCCCAATGGGAATATTACACATTATATGGTATCCTGGGAACAGCAAAGTGAAGACAGTGAACTCTATGAACTAGATTACTGTCTGAAGGGTAAGACAGGCTAGCTGTGTCCCCCTACTTTTTAGCCTTAAACTGAATTGCAGCTTCTTTCCAGTAGGAATCGGCACTACTCATTTAAAAACATGGTATCTTTCCTAAGGCTGTAGATCCCTTACTGACCATTAATCTTTTAGGATCATGAAACATAGGAGCTTTACTGTCCATCTGTCCTGCAGGCTTGAAGCTACCCTCTCGGACATGGTCTCCCCCTCTAGTAGATGATGGCAACAAGCACAATGTGAGCGAGAATGAAAAAATGAGTGGAGAGTGTTGTACCTGCCCTAAAACAGACTCTCAGATCCAGAAGGAGTTGGAGGAATCTGCCTTCCGGAAGACTTTTGAGAATTACCTCCACAATGAAGTATTTGTTCAGAGGTAAGTTCCTGAGTGTGGCTGCCTTTCTTCTGGCTTAAGTGAGGACATTCAGATTTGCTTTCTCTGCTGTCAAGCAGGAGACAGATGGAGGTATAACTGTCAGAGTACTTAGTTTATAGTACTAAACAATAATAAAGCTGTTGGAAAAAGCAACTAATTCCTTGAGAGGTTTTACAAATACTCAACTTACTGTAACTGGTTTTGTTTAAGTATTTTCCTTTCTTGGCCAGGCAAACAGAAGTTTCTGAAATTATTCTTTACTCTTGTGGTAAATACAAAATCCTACAGAATGTCTTATATATGTGCTGCCTCACTGGGGAAAAGCAGGTGCTACTCTTTAAGGTTTTTCTCATCCTCCCACATCAGCAAGTAATGTCATAATAAACAGTCTGTTATGCCTTATCTTCTGTTTTTGGTAGATTCTGGCTAGAGTGCCCTGGAAACATAGTGAGCTTCTGATATTAACACAATAGTATCATTGGTTCCTTGTAGAAGGAGACTTTCTTACCTTCCTAATGTGTCTCAGATAATTTGATGCAACTTTGCCTGTGTTGTTCCAGCTGTCTGTGAGGCTTTGTTTGACATAGCTGCTGGTCTTTTATAAGGCAGGGGAACTTTGGTCCAAGCGTTCATTTGGTTAGCAGGCAAACTAAATGAAGAATCTCAAAGGTAATGATTCAACTAGGCCTGAGCCTTAGTGACTCTTATGAAAGATAATGAAGTTTATGGGAGTTCTGGCATTACTTGTTTGTTGAGCTTTCTTGGACAGTAACTTTACTTAAGGGGAAAATGTTTTTTTGCATATTTGACCATCTTGAAAGAAGACAGTCTTTGTTTGATGGAAACATAGTGGTAAAGACCTCAGATGAGGAGGAATAACAGGCTGAGGCAGTGATCAGTACTAGGTGCAATAATAAAAACTTTCATTGACCTGATTTTCTCTGAAAAGTCTACAGGAAAGTAGTTCTTTCCTTTTCCTGAGATTGGGATATCTCACTGGCTTTTCAGTTTGCCGATGGTTTAAGCTAGAATCCAGGCAAATGTTGGAATTAAAGATGTACAATGGACAATGACTAGGGGCAGATAATTTAGATCAGGACATTTTCTGGTTTGAGGTAACAGTCCCTCATTTGCTTCTTGAAACATTTTTTGTAGCTGTGCCAACAAAATAGGTCTTATTTTTAAATACATTAGCTCTTATATACAAGATGTTTATGTGTGCTTGCTCTCTGGTATGATATATCTGTGAACTCTGGCCTATCCTGAAGGAGGACACAGCTCAGGACAATATATGTGCTCAAGATAACTGCTTCTACATGGTTAATAAGTAAATTGGATGAAAATGGAACCAGAGTGTAGAGCTTCTGCTTTTCAGAAAAAACAAGAACTGTTTTTATGCTTAGCACTATATGTGAAATCTTACTGAGTGGACCTTTTACAGATACCTGTTTTCAGTTGAATTACATTTTTTTGGTGTTTTTCAACAAATTAAAATCTGAACTAATCACCTCAGGTAGATAAGCAGTACCTCATTCTGCTTCTTGTGGCAGATGTAGAAATTATTTTCACTTAAAGAGGACTAGAGTTTCCCACCTTCTTTTATTGTATTAGCAAACCTCAAAGGGATCACTATACTCTGTTTTTATAAAACTAATATGCAAGTGGAAATCATCTGCATATGTACTGAGGTGGGGGAAAGATTTCATGGTATGTGTTGTTTAAGGAATTTGAGCTTTGTGGCACTTTAAGGATTAACAAATTTATTATAACTGTTCATGGATCATGATCCACTTCTTCAAATGTATAAAGTTCTGAGAATGAAATATTATAAATGTGTCAACTTTAATTGAGAAGGTGGCAGGAAGGAATAGTGAAAGAAGTTGAGTGATGACCATAAGCATAGCAGTAATTAGGTATGGCAGATATTCTGATATTAAATAGCAAATTAATTAATGTAATATGATACTAAAATCTGGTGTTTGTTTCATCCACGAGAAAGAGTGGTAAATCTAAATATTTCTATTATTTTTAAATTGGATAGTTGTTGTAATTTCTTAAGGATTGCCCTTTTTTCATCAGAGAATAGTGTAATGAAGAATTGAAATGTGTCCTGGTTTTTGAGCATTGCCATTTATTGTTTTGCATAGAGATCAGTCAGATTATCTGATGTAAAGTATAGTGGGGCATTGCACAATTGATGGCATATACCACGTTGGAGGATCCAGAGTGGCCTGAGCTTGAAGCAGCTAAGGTCAATAGCAACAGCAAACCATGCTGCAAAGATAGACACAGAAATCAAATGTGGGAATGTTGTTGCTGTATTTATTGTTGCATCACTTTCACAGAATTGAGAATGTCACCCACAACATCAAGGAGACACGTTTGCTCTTTGTCCAGAGAGTTACCATATATACTTTTAAAAAAAATCTATTTGTTATTTTATTCAATTGTTGTACGCTGCCCAGAGTCACTTTGTGTGAGATGGGTGGCTATATAAATGTGATAAATAGATACATAAATACATAAATAACACCATTTGTTAGCAATAACCAACTTATTTCACTGAACAGACTACTCAATATCTATGGAAAAGAATAAATGGATACAAATCTGAAATGTCAATTATAAAAATACCCATTGGAAAATAGAACAGGAGAACAGTAACTAACAGTTCTACTTTGTAGAACTGCATATTTATGGGAGGTGTCATTTTAGATAAAACACCACAGTCAATATAGTAGAAATGAAATGCATAAAACCATTTAAACAGCAGCAAAAGATTGCATCACTTCAAAATGTTATAGTCATGTCACAATAGGTTTAACAGTTCTGGGCAAATTAGAGCCAAACTGAAATAAACAAGCCTTTCCTGGAACTCCAAAGAGTAGGAGTCAATCAGGAAGCAAACAGTATCACTAGAAAAGGACCAATTTCAGAGCAAGGCCATAAAACACAAGGGGTAGGCAGATTCATATGTAAAAGGATGTAGTCCTTCAGATAAATTCTCATGTAGAAGACAGTCTTCTCCGATATTGTGCCCCCTCCAGTTGTATTTGGGCTGCAGTTTTCAGAATTCTTAGGCAGTGTAGGAAAGGACTGTTTGAAAACCCTGGAAGTTGTAGTCTCAGTGTCTCTGGAAGGCATCAGGTTGGAGAAGTTTGGTCTTCTTAGCTAATCAGTTATAGAGAGGGAGGGAAATAGGTGAGAACCATTGTATAAGCAAAGAGGGCTGAAACATTCCTGAAGTCCTGGGAAACAAGGTAATATTTGAAAAAGACTCAGGCGGGCTCTTCCCTGATTCACTGGAATATAAGAGGGAAGGGAGGTAAAGCACCATCAGGGTTGCAAGATTCTGTTATTGTAGCCTATCTCAATAACATATAGTTCTAACCTTCCTCTGGAGTTTCTTTCCTGATGTTGTCTATCTTAAAGGGTTGACAACAGTTTTCTGATTTGCACCTGGAAATGAACAGAAA